TTGCATACTCATAAACTTCTGTTGTTATTTTCTCTAAGTTTCTGAAAGAAGGAGCAAAGCTTTTGCCAAGAACTTCCAGATGAAGACCTTCCTAGACCTGTAAACTGGGATTACCCAATTCTTGACTTCAGAATGAAGTTTCAACCAATTCTGGCAAAGTCAAACAGACCTGTGACAGTCCCTTGAATACCAAAGTTGTAACAACTTTGTGAGTCCCCCCACCCCCACGGGGGGGGTGTCAAATAGGTGGAACACTTGTTATTAGAAGGAAGAGTTAAGTTCTTTGTTATTCAAACATACACCCACTCACAGCCTCCTCTTTATCCTCTATAATGGAAACCCTCAACAGATGGAGAGCCTGAGCTTCCAAGCCTACTAACTGAGAAGACCACTTCACTCAAGGGCCATTGGTGTCATAGAGAGTGAGGAAGGGAAAAAGGAAGGTAGCTAGCGTAGGTAATCACTATTGTTTAATACTTCTTAGAGACAGAAATTCGAAAAATCTTGTTCAGCAAGGTTAGCAGCCCCTGGGGCCTCAGAAACCAACTAGGCTGATCTGTCTCTGATCAGGGCTGGCCTTCCAGTCACACCAAGGGGAAGATACTAGCTCCCCTCTCTCGCTTTTGAAAGCCTGTACAAAAAAAAATGGTACAAATGGATGGTTAACTTAATGATTCCATCAGAGGCGGATTTTTCTTTGTCAGGTCCCCGGATGAGGTTATGTTCTGAAAGCCAGAAGGCAGAATATGTGCTTGATCACCCTTTCTTACCCCCCTTCTTACCTCCCTAGTAGAGTAGCCCAGGGCTACTCTTCAAGGCTTCCCATGGCAACTTCCCATCCCCTGGCTAGCTCCACAACAGAATATACCCCGAGGTTTCCCAGGTTGCAAGGAAAACTTCCCTTGTTCCTCCACCCCAACCCCCACCTTCATTTTGCAGCAGGGCCATACCCTCTAGGGCCTGACCGTCAACCTACTTTGATCCACATTTGATTGTCTGGACAGACCAACCAGGGATGCCCAAGTGACTACCATCCATGAGTCAGGCTCAAGGACCTGACCTCTTTCATTCAGATCTAAAGTTTCTGAAATCTAACGGAGATCCATAACCTCCTGACGCCCCACCACCACCATCACCACCGCCACACACACACACACACACACACACACACACACACACACACACACACACAGAGGAATGTGTACACACCCATACACTATGCACACACACACACAGGAGAATGTGTAGACACCCATACACTATAGAAAAAGGAGGGCTGGCCAAAGCCGGAACTAAGCCATCCTTGCCCTTCAGTAAAAGAGGTAGACCTCCCAAGACCAACACTCTCAGGAGAGGCCCGGGTGTTCCTCCCTTCTGACATAGCCCCCTGTTGTGGCTAAGGCCTTCTCTGCAGAGGACCAGAAAGGAAGCCGCTGCCATAATGGACTCCTGGGCTTTGGGTAGACCTGACTGCTTCTGGGCATCCTCAACAAACAGATGAGGGTCGGTGCTCCTCTGTCCCACAGCGTACGTCGTGGGAGAAAGACAAGCTAGGATGCTGATTTCCTTCCCTGGCCAACTTCCTGCATCGTGTCCTGCCAGGGGTCTTGAAGCTGGAGCGAAGGCTTGAGACCCGGGCGCCATTGCTGGCCAGGCTCCCCTCCCCCACTCTTCTTTCTTTGCTTCTCTGAGACCCAGGAGGGAGGAGGCGGCAGGCGCCTGGGCAGATAGAGCTGCTATTGTGACCTTCCCAGGCTGAGCGGGAACCCAGCGGAGTGTGTACTGCCCGCGGTGGCGAGGGAGGGAGGTGACTGTGTGCAAACCTCGGGTGCTGAGGGGGTGGCACCGGGAAATAAATAAAGGCTTGCAACCTCGGGCAGTTGGACCCTTCAGAGGGCGTTTGGTTGTGTTTAGACTTGGGTGCTTCCTAACACTAATTGCAGGCTCAAGAGGAGCGGAATTTATGGCGAAGGCCAAGGCGGCTTGTTTATAATTTATGAAGTTTTAAATGGTTGTGCCGCGGGCCCAGCTCTCTCCGGCGGGCGGCCGCGTGGGAGTGCGCCCTCCCAGAACTCGCCGCCGCCCCCACCCACGCTAGGAGCGAGTGTGCCCATCACGTGATTCCCGCCAGTGGCAGGAAAGAACCAAGCAATTCTCTGACGTCTGTAGAACTTCAGGAGGTGGGAGAAGGCCGGGATTTGGTCGAAGAGACTCCCTCCCCCCTCTTCCAACATCCTTACTCCACAGCAGGGCCTGGGAGGCTGCGGCTGCCTAGAGAGGGAGCCCCCAACCTTACACTTCCTTAGAGGCTATGTGTGAGAGGAAGCTGATGTCAGCCGGGCTAGACACTGTTTAAAGTCTAATCCATGAAACCCTAAGCCACAGATGACACTTGGGGTTTTGCAGACACCCGCAGACTCAGCAGATACTCCTGCGGTAACACACCGCGCTGGGAAACGCCTGCAGCCATGATGCATTATGTATTTTTATTATTATTTATGGTAGGAAGAGGAGATGAGAGAAACAGGGCTGAATCTAAACAGCTTGACAATTCATCTATTTAATATTTAGCCAGTTAAGAAAGGTGGCTGTGATTTCCTACACGGCAGCTAGCTCTTCTTTGATTTCCTTAAGAGCTTAAAAAATAATTTCTTACAATTATAGATTCTGCCTATGAATGCAAGTTTCATAGAAAACAAGGTTAAGCCTTGAGTGTGGGTAAAATATGCCTTCGATTGAAGTCATTTATTCTGTTGATACAATTCTACAACATATATACTTTAAAGTTGCTCAGATAGAGTGAAATTTAGCAAACGGATATCCCTTCCCACCCCAGCCTAACATGCCATTTTAAAACAGCACAAAAGGGACAAGAAAACTAAATATTATTTTGAGCCACCATTACTGAGCGAAACACAAACATCCAAATAGAAAACGATTGTTGTTCCACCAGAAGAGAAGCAGCTATTTCCACACAATAGGAATTTCACCTCGTGTCATCAGCCTGGTCGTGGGAGTTGTATGTTTGCCAAACCAAATAGAAATGCGTGGGCGGACTTTGCTGAAATACAAAATAATTGAACCTTGTCTGAAGACCTTTTTCCAAGTGCCCCCTACTATAGAAGTGGGAGTAAGTGCCCGACCCTCGCTAGAGCCACACTAATATTTACAAAACGATTATAAATGTTGTAGACTTTTTGCCCGTTTTGCACAAAGAAACAGGAGTAAACGAGGTGTTTATACGTGTCATGTTCCATTAATGAAACTTTTATTATTTTACATTTATGGAGAACATTTGTTTTCTTTTGACATGAACTACTGACCATTACAAAGGGAAAAAAAATCTTGAGCACTTCCTAGAGATAAAAGCCTGGGTGCTTGTCTTTGCATTGTCATTTCTTTTTATACCCCTGTACCTTAGCTTTTCATAGCTTAATCCTTCCTGTTTCCCTTATGCTTTTTCTTTGATTGTCAGTTTTCCCCTAAAGTTTAATTTTTATTATTTAATGCAGAAAATGATCTCTGCCTTCCTCCTCCATGTGTTGATCATGTCTAGAAAGAGGTGGTAGAAAGAGCCATGCAAGTGCTTCTTTGGCAAAGCCCTATTGCGATCACCCCTCCTACAACATTTGGGGGGATTTGCATCCTCTGATTACTGCCACCCAATTTCAATAGTGTGAACGTAATCAAGCATTCATCCACGACAATTCGTGCAATAGGTTCCGAATAAATAAAATCTTTTTCAGAGGGTCATTTTTTATTGGGGAGGGGAGTCTTACAGAGGGATCAAGGCAGAGTTGTCTGCCTGCAAATGAGCGTGATTAACACAGATACAATTCCAACTGAGAAAAATTTTTTATTCTAAATGTTTGTTCAAATAGTACCAGACAATTTGTAATCAATAAGCTGTGTCGAGTGGTGAGGGCTTCGGCTGTTGAGAAACGACTAACTTGAGCCGTGCTATGCCACCGGGCTGCCTGACTCTACCCATGAAGGACCATTTGTGATCTCGGTCCTTTACATCAACTACAAACACCAGCCACGGTTACAACTGTTCAAAACTACTCTCTCAACTAGTTCGGACCAAGGGGACTAAAGAGGTGAAATGTGGCCCCCAAGGCCTGGGAGCGCGTACCTAGGCCCGCCTGGAGAATTCTACAAATATACACATAAATACATCAAGACGAGGATAAATAATCAGGGAAACGAAATTACTCGCTTCAAATAATAAATACAGATTGTTTAGTCCGATGCAATCTTTACAGGAGGGGAGGGAGCATATAAATTAAGGTCTCTGAAACTAAGCTAGACGGAGGGGCCTGACCCAGGATTCTCCAGGCTCTAGTCCCTCTTCAGGACACGCCACGGATGGGTCTTGTACTTACCTTAGGGACATCATTACCAGATTAGAGTCCCTCGGTCCGCAGTATATGGCACTGTCAGGTTTACAGGGGAGGATCCTTGCGGCTGATTTATGGCGAGTCACCCGAAGGAGGACGCGCGCCTGGAGGGGAGGCCCAGTCGTGTCAGCCTCGGCCGCTGGAAGCCTGAGACTCGTGAGGCAGCGGCCAGATCAGATCGGGGAG